GGGTTTAGGGTTTAGGGGTCCGGTTGAAAAGAATAGACAAGGCCCTACACGCACGTCCCTTAGCCGGAAAGAGGGTATCCTAATCGACCTGTCTAACACGGAGACTGGGCGCCTGCAAGCGCGACATACGCACAGTGAACATCCTGAAGAAGAATAAGAATAAGAATAAGAATAAAATAATCTTGCATTATGGACGTCCAAACAGGGGCAATGCTGTCCTGCACTGCAGTCGAGGGTCGGGGGTTGAGTAACTGAGTAAGGAACGGTTAGAAGGTGGTGCGATTTCCGGGGGGGGAACCTCTAAGGGGGCTACCAGTATAATTTATGCGCTTGGCAGTCTGAGTCCTTACTTCTAAGTCAAATACATGGGCCGGAGGAACTGGACTGTGGATTCGGGTCGCTAACAAAGATACCCATAGTCTCCATTGTAGTTCCTTTTTGGGGATACCTTATAGACTCCTTCATATATAATTGGTTAAACCGTAAGAACTATAATGGAGACTACAGGTAGCATCTTTCGCTGCTCGGCCTCCTAAACCCTAAACCCTAAACCCTCGCGACCCTAAACCCTAAAGAGACTATAGGTAGATGTTTAAAAAGTTCTAAGGCGCAGCATCATGAAGTACTCGGGCTTCGAACCAGGGGCTCCAAAACGTCGGAGTTGAGGAAGATGAACGGTTTAGGGTTCAGGGTTTAGGGATCTTGGTTGGGGTTTCCGTATGAAGTAAAGTAGACTCATCTGAAATCCCTTATAACTTGGCCCTCAACTTTAATGTAGGGGCCTAGATACTTACCAACACTAGTCTGGGGGCTTCCTTACTATAGTTATGGTATAATGGGCCCCAAAACCCTATTCTAATTATTATTATTATTATTATTATTATTATCATTATAATTATTCTAATTATTATTATTATTATTATTATTATCACTATTATTATTAAGGCACCTATGAATTCAACCCCGAAACCCCAACAATCCCCGGCCCCTGGCACCTCAGAGACCTCCAAGATGGAAGCGATGTTCCCGAAGCGATAACCTGGAGCTCAGACAGGAAGCTCCCAAAGCGAGCCACTTAGGGTTTAGGGTTTAGGGTCCCGCAGGTACAGGATAGCAAAGTGTGGGTAGCCTTCGAAGGCTCTCGTGGCTGAGAGCTTGGGTATACCCTGCCAAGCCCTTGAACCAATCTGGGCTTTTTGGGTTTAGGATTTAGGGGTCCCTAAACCCTAAACCCTAAACCCTAAACCCTAAACCCTAGACCTTAAAGGATTGAGGGGTCGGGGGTTTAGGATTCAAAATTTGGGTAGTTCTCTAAATTAGGGGCCCCTTTAGGTCCCCAATACAGTACGGCACCCTTATAAAAAGGACCCTAAAAAGGGACCCTAAACCCTAAACCCTAAACCCTAAACCCTAAACCCTTATAAAAAGGACCCTAAAAAGGGACCCTATTTTGAGAACTACCCATTTTCAGGGTGCGGAAGTTTACAGGGTTCAAGGGTTTAGGGTTAGCTGTAGCGGCCCAGGCGCAGTAGTTTGGAGCACTCCAAACAGTGGACAGCGTGTCGTCAAACAGCACCTCCGGGTCGCCAGACATCAAGGATTTAGGATTGCTTTTTCAGGGTTCTGTAGGCTTTAGGGATCTTTAGGGCTTTAGGGTTTAGGGTTTAGGGTTTTCCTGAGGTTTTGGGGCTAAGACTGGTTCTTGTAGGGGTTTTGGGCCCCTATCCAGCACGATGCGCCTGGTAGCCTGCCATGCAGAGCTGGTGAGCTCGCACGATGTGGCTGAGCTGGTTCACGTGCAGGAACCTTGAATGAAGATCCGGAGCTCGGGTTCAAAGAAAGGCCTGCGCCCTCTGCCCTCTCTTAGCTACGTAATGTTGCTGTTGCTCTTATTCGTTCGGTCAAAATCGCTACTAACTGCGAAGTGGCCTGTCTTGGCATCAGCATTATCATGGAGAGTCCGATACGTCCGTCTTGTACTGAGTAGCGGCATCCTTTTTCTTCACACAGGTGCAGAGGTTTAGGGCTGGAGTGAGGAACATCTGCAGCTTTGAGTTCAGTTATCATGCCGAACAGAACAATGGAATGGGTGCACAGCTGCTGTGACTTTGGGATCAGGCCCCGCTCTCCACTCGAATCTAGAAAGAATACCAAATGCCACAACCGTGCATGCGGCTTCGAATTGCAAAGTCCGAACATGACAGCCAGTACTGGCATTGAGGCATATTTTACACTTTCGGCTCGGCCACAACCATCGAAATCCCAGACTGCAAGAAGGGCTGCTTTAGGTGTTCGGGCTTCGGGCTTCGGGGTTTATGGGCTCAGGGGTTCAGGCTTTGGAACTTCGTTTTCTGGGCTCCCACTCAGCGTCCTGCTTCTCTGCCACATCCTGGCCGAAGACGTAGCCCGCACCCCGTGGTGAGATCACCTCTGACGGCTTGGGGCTCTTGTGGTCGAATACTGATACAAGGGCCATAATTCAAGAAGATAGCGGTTTTGGCATACACTATGTAGGTTTAGGGTTTAGGGTTTAGGGTTTAGGGTTTAGGGCTTAGGGCTTAGGGCTTAGGGTTTAGGGTTTAGGGTTTAGGCACTAGAAGGCGATACCATTGCTGCTCCTTCCGACCCCAATATTGGGGTCCAAGGTGTCGGCTCCGGGGTCTCCAGGGTTGGGCTTCTGTTCAGAAAGGGCACAGAACTCATCAATGGAGACACCACGGGGTTTAGGGTTTAGGGTTTAGGGGTGACTTGAATATGTATGATCAAAATTTGGGACGGAGTCATCTGCGGGGAGGTCAGAGAGCGATGGGGCACCTGAAAGCCTCGATGCGATTGCTTCCAAGAAGGTTTCTTTGCACCGCATCGGATGAAGAAGCTGAGAACCGAGCAAAGCCAGTCTTGTCCGGATCGGGATCTGACCTTGCTCGAGCTTCTGGGTCTAAAGGTGCATTATGTACTATATACTACATAAAAGAAGATATCTATTATGCAACTATATACTACGCAGTGTATCGTATATATTATATACGGCGCTGCACGCAAGGCTGGCGGCTAAAACTCGTCGCTCTGGGCACTGGCCGTACTCTATCAGATCAGACATCCCGGGCAAACCCTAAACCCTATACCCAGGGGCCCGTGCCACATAAGATCTGCCAGCGGCCCATCGTGCGGAATCTCCGAGAATCGGTCCAAGAGACGGATCTGCAAAGAAAGTTTGGTAGACCTAAGACTTGCCACTAAGTTAGACCTATAATGGTAGATCATATTTAATGGTAAACCATAGGTCAGTTATAGTGGAAGATAGCAGCCCAGTTATAGTGGAAGACAGGAACCGGTCCCGAGGAGGGGTTTTGGAATGGGTCAGCAGTCTCGCTTGCCATCGAGAGCTCCAGCTGAGGCTATCACCCGGCAGCTTTGCAGCTACAGAAACTTCAGAAACGGCCCTTTGGTCTCGAGACTCTGTGGCAGAATCCCTCACCGCAACGACCCGTCGCAACATCACCCCTAAACCCGAAACCCAAAGCCCTAAACCCTAAACCCTAAACCCAAAGCCCTCAACCCTCAACCCTAAACCCTAAACATCACGAAGGAGCCTGGTCCAAGTGGTGGATGGAGGGCGACAGGCCCCCGTGGACTGCGAGCAGGCTGCCCCCAATCTGCGCGGAATCTCTCCGGGGGCTCAGGAGCTGAAGCTCCAAACAGGATCTCTTAGGTAATATTTAGGGGTTTAAGGGTTTAGGTGTTTAGGGGTTTACGGGTTTAGGGTTTAGGGTTTAGGGTTTAGGGTTTTAGGTTTAGGGTTTAGGGTTTTGGGTACATACGGCTCAAGGTTTAGGGTAGAAGTGATGCACCGGTTACAGGACCTCTTTATTGGCCGGATCTTGTTCCATGTTGATGCCGCGAACTGCTCTTGAAGTTGCCCCTTGCCGTTCTGCCTTGCGACATGCTGTCCTTGTTACCGTTCTTTTCTTAGGGATCGTCCGAGTCCCAGCCATAGAAGTTCCCAAAGCCTCCGTGCTTTCTGCTCGCTCGCTCCAACTGCCCCAAAGACGCCAAAATCCCGCAATCAAGGCATGCTCCGCGAATCATAAGTTGGTTCTTTGGTGTGGGAAACGGTGGTTGTGGGATTTTGGAGTCTCTGGGTGCAAGATGATGGTGAGACACGAGGACGGTCGGGCCTATACCCTAGGCTACCCTCAAGCTGCAACCGGATGCACACATCCGGCAGCGCCCAGAGCGAATTTCATTGGGAAGGCACTGAACAGTCCACTATGGAGAGCAGATATGTCTGGCCCGCAAGGTTAATTCTGGACCCCGAAGGTACGCCCCAAGCACTGAACCCCCGAAACTACGGAACCTACGGATCCTAGGGGCTCCTCCAAGGCTTCTCACGAAGCTTGAAAGGAAGCCCAAATAGAAAGCTCAGAGAGCTTGAAAATCATCAAACTTCCAGCGTCGCCATCGTCTGCCTGGCGGGCAAGCTTCGGGCTTCCAAATCTCAGTGAGAAAGCTCTATCTTCAGCTTTCTACAGCCTCATACTTTAAGGAAGTATAGCCGGGCCCGAAAAAACCTAGATGACCGTACCCTGAGCCTGATACCTCAACACTTGTTGTACTACATTTGCGGTTCCTATCTCCTCGATGGCTTTTGTAACCGCCGTCGTGCGAGTTTGATTGCTAGTTAACTGGACTCATGATTCTGACATCAATATTGCCTTTTGCTTTTGTCACAAGTACCACTCTCATGGCTGCTATGATGAGTAGTCCTAGTGTCATCTTGTAGCCACAGACCTCAAATGAAAGCATTCGATAACATATTATGGAGGTTTCCCAAAATAGCGGACCCGAATATAGTACCCCAAAATAGTAGGATCCTTATTCTCAGGTACCTAGCTGCTCTGCTTCCCCACTGGGCCCCGCGGCCCAACCAGCAGCTCTGGCTGCTGGGTTGTGACGGGAGTATCGCACGACGAGGTATCACCTCTCGAGGGCGAACACCGGAAACATGTGGGGTTTCCGGAAATAGGGGACCCTAATATAGCACTCTGAATAGTAGGATCCTTATTATAAGGACCCCAAAATAAGGTACCCCTTATTTTCGGAAACTCCCATTTCCGAAAAAGGACAGCCTAAGTCCGGGAAGATGGCTTGCATTGAAGAAAGCTCCTTCTTCTGGCTTAAGGTTGGGGTCGTTCATCCTTGTAGGTGTCGGGTTTAGGGTTTAGGGGTTTAGAGTTTAGGGTTTAGGGCTCAGGGTTCAGGGTTTAGGGTTTAGAGTTGAGGGTGTCCCTTGGTGTTTTGGGGGCGCCCTGGAAAAGGGAACTGAACCGGAGAGATCACCGTTTAAGTAACACTCTCGTGCGAGATGCGGATGACAATTGCCTTCAAGCCTGGAACTCGATCTCTCGATCTTCACAAGCCATAGCAAACAGAACATCATGCCATTTCGATTATGTGAGTACGCAAATACTGCGATGATACCTTACATATTTTCTGACCTGGTGCGTATCTACACTCTCTCTGAAAAGCTTTGTAGATACCCCAGTCCGAGCATCCGGCACGTGTCCGGCTTCGCTCCGCTGGAACCGAGGAAGAAAGGCAATCCCTTCCTGGACACAGTCAGAAATGGGGTTTCCGCAAATTAAAACAGGGGACCCCAATAAAGTACCCTAAATAGTAGTATCCTTATTATAAGGACCCCAAAATAAGGTATCCCCTTATTTTCGGAAACTCCCAAATGCAGAAGTTTATGCAGGCTTCAAAGTTGAAGGTGTAGGGGAGTCTAGGGGTTTTGGGTTTAGGATCTAGGCGTTGGGGTTAAGCGGTGCTTCAGCGGTTCGTCGGCCTCCGACTCAACTTTCAAGCCCCATAGAAGCCTTCTAAAGCCCTCTCAAAGTTGTTACAATCCAATAACACGCTATTGAAACCTTACGAAACCCTTCTAGCACCAGGCTGGAACCTTTATAGAATGGCGTAAAGCACCTTTTTGCAACGCCTTTACCGCAAACCCTGAACGATTGCCACACAGCTTCCTCGGCATGTCGAAGCGGACGCCGCTGAGGATGTTTGTGAAAACAACGATGAGGAGTAGCACCTCAGGAAGGGGCTGAGGGCTGCTTTTGGGGCTTCTTTGGGGATCAGGGTTTAGGGCTAGAAGTCTATCGAATTCATACTATTCTATTAAATTATTATTATAATTAATTATTATTATTTTTATTATTATTATTGTTATTATTATTATTAAATTATTAGTATTATATATTCTTATTATTAAGGTTCCATGAAGACCATGCCGGAGCTTCGACAGAATCGCAACGGCCTTCGGCTTCACAGAAGCTCCGGAACACCGAGATCTCGACAACTCCGGCCGACAGCACCGCCGAAGAGGAGATCATCTTCTTCACATCGCGCCTTACCAGGGGTTTAGGGTTTAGGATTTAGGGTTTAGGATTTGGGGTTTAGGGTTTAGGGGTTAGGGTTTAGGGTTTAGGGTTTAAGATTTTAGGTTTAGGGTTTAAGATTTTGGGTTTAGGATTTTGGGTTTAGGATTTTGGGTTTAGAGTTTAGGGGTTAGGGTTTAGGGTTTAGGGCCATGCACCAGAAGGCCCCCAGAATAGAACCGAGAGCTCGGAAGCCGCAGAATCAGAAGATCCAAGAGCTGGGCTTCGCCGTGCCGGTAGGTACCGCGCTCGGCGGCGGCCCTGCAAAGACAGGGCTCTATACTTAAAGGATCATGGGACTTAGTAAGTATGGCTATAAGTACCTTGATTGGGGTTATAAGTAGTTATAGCTATATATTTACCCTAACAATAACCTCAGTTACTAAGTCCCATGATCCTTTAAGTACCCTAAACCCTAAACCCTAAACCACAACCCCTAAATCCTAAACCCTAAACCCTATCTTAATTACTAAGTCCCATGATCCTTTAAGTAAGCTCCAAACCACTATATTGGGGACCTAAAAGAGGGGACCCTAATTTAGAGAACCACCCATATGCAGCACAGCGATGTTAAGTCTCAGGGGCGGCCCCCTCTCTGCCGGCCTCTTGGCGTGGGCGGCTGGGAGGAGGGCGCCTGCGGAAGACCCGGAGTGGAGACCAGGGTTTAGGGTTTAGGGTTTAGGGTGTAGGGTTTAGGGTGTAGGGTTTAGGGTTTAGGGCATCTGCGAAATTGAGGAGAAAGTTTGGGAGTTTCGGGTTCCAACATCGATGAGGGTAGTTCTCTGAAGTAGGGTCCCCTTTTTAAATCTCCCAATATAATACGGCACCCTTGTAAAAGGACCCCTAAA